TCAAACTGCCAACCTTTTGGTTAGCAGCCATTCAGTATTATTCAACTTTATAATTAACAGTGATAATCAAAAATGCCAATTGGTGCAGGCACCGTTTTGTGAGGGTCCAAAGGGTAACAGGTGGCCTGATACCTCCAAAGTTTTACAAAAATATTTTAAAAATATGTGACCCCTTTAGCTTCTGACGGGAGGAACCCTCGTAGCACAGTGGTCAAGCTCTCAGCTGTTAACCAAAAGGTCAGCAGTTTGAACCCACCAGCCGCTCCACAGGAGAAACATGGCGGTCTGCTTCCGTAAAGATTACAGCCTTGAAACCCTATGGGGCAATTCTACCTTGTCCTATAGGGTCGCTGTGTGTTGGAATCGACTCGACGGCAACAGGTAAACAGGCAGCTTCTGACAGTCCGTCTCATCCCCTGTGTCATCCACACAGGTGGGCTGTGCTGCCTCCACTTTCTCCCCTCCCATTTTCGGGATTACCAACTGCAATCCTACTTCGCCTCTAATGATCCACTTACTTATGTTTGATTTAGATGGCTCAGAAGGTAAGATTCTGGACTTGGAGTGGATTGAAGATTTTTAGGGTGATGTGAGGGGGTGAAAGTGTTTTGCACGTGGCAAGGATGTGAATTTTGGGGGCTCCAATGATGGAATGTTGTGGATTGAATTGTGTCCCCAAAATAATATGTGTTATAAATTCTAACCTCTATGCCTGTGATTATAATCTCTTCTGGGAATAGGCTGTCTTTTTTATGTTAATGAGACAGGATTACTGTAGGATGTGCCTTGAGTCAAGCTCTTTTGAGATATGAAAGAGATTAAACAAGCAAGCAAGTGAACAGAGATGGGGTTAAGATAGATGCCAAGACACACAGAGATCTCCAAGGAACGAGGAAGCAGAAGCTAAAGAGTCAAGGCCCTTCCTCCAGAGCCAACAAAGAGAGAAAGCCTTCCCCTAGAGCCAGCATCCTGAATTTGGACTTCTAGCCTCCTAAACTGTGAGAAAATAAACTTCCTTTTGTTAAAGCTTCGAGTTACAACTTTGAAGGCTTTTATGGGCAAAATATTGAACAATGCAGGAAGTATCAAAAAGAGAATGGAAGGAATACACAGAGTCACTGTACCAAAAAGAAGTGGTTGACATTCAGCCATTTCAGGAGGTAGCACATGATCAGGAACCAAATGGTACTGAAGGAAGAAGTCCAAGCTGCACTGAAGGCATTGGAAAAAAACAAGGCTCAGGAATTGACAGAATACCAACAGAGATGTTTCAACAAACAGATGCAGCACTGGAGGTGCTCACTCATCTATGCCAAGAAATCTGGAAGACAGCTACCTGGCCAACTGACTGGAAGAGATCCATACTTGTGCCCATTCCAAAGAAAGGTGATCCAACAGAATGTGGAAATTATTGAACAATATTATTAATATTCACACGCAAGTAAAATTTTGCTGAAGATAACTCAAAAATGGTTGTAGCAATACACTGACAGGGAACTGCCAGAAATTCAAGCTGGATTCAGAAGAGGACATGGAAAGAGGGATATCATTGCTGATATCAGATGCATCTTGGCTGAAAGCAGAGAATACCAGAAAGATGTTTACCTGTGTTTTATTGACTACGCAAAGGCATTCGACTGTGTGGATCATAACAAATTATGGATAACACTGCAAAGAATGGGAATTCTAGAGCATTTGATTGTTTTCATGCAGAAGTGTACATAGACCAAGAGGCAGTTGTTCAAACAGAATAAGGTGATATTGCGTGGTTTAAAATCAGGAAAGGTGTGTGTCAGGATTGTATCCTTCACCACACTTATTCAATCTTACACAGAACAAATAATCTGAGAAGCTGGACTCTATGAAGAAGAATGGAGCATCAGGATTGAAGAAAGACTCATTAACAACCTGCAATATGGTCCTCAAGGTCGAGAAGGGAGAGTGTTGACATGTCGTGGGGTTGTTAACCAATGTCATACAACAATATGTGTACTGACTCTTTAATGAGAAACTATTTGTTCTGCAAACCTTCATCTAAAGTACAATAAAAAAAATTTTTAAAAATCAACAAGCAAAAAAAAACACAACAACCTGCAATATGCAGATGACACAACCTTGCTTGCTGAAAGCGAAGAGGACTTGAAGCGCTTACTGACGAAGATCAAAGACCGCAGCCTTCAGTATGAATTGCACCTCAACATAAAGAAAACCAAAATCCTCACAACTGGACCAATAAGCAACATCACGATAAATGGAGACAAGATTGAAGTTATCAAGGATTTCATTTTACTTGGATCCACAATCAACGTCCAAGGAAGCAGCAGTCAAGAAATCAAACAACGCATTGCACTGGGCAAATCTGCTGCAAAAGACCTCTTTAAAGTGGTAAAAAACAAAGACGTCACTTGGAGGACTAAGGTGCACCTGACCCACGCCATGGTATTTTCAATCGCTTCGTATTCATGCAAAGGCTGGACGATGAATAAGGAAGACCAAAGAAAAGCTGATGCCTTTGAATTATGGCGTTGGCGAAGAATATTGAATATCCCATGGACTGCCAGAAGAACGAACAAGTCTGTCTTACAAGAAGTACAGCCAGAGTGCTCCTTGGAAGCGAGAATTGAGAGACTTTGTCTCATGTACTCTGGACATTTATCAATAGGGACCAGTCCCTGGAGAAGACACCACGCTTGGTAAGGTAGAGGGGTCAGAGAAAAAGAGGAAGACCCTCGACAAGATGGACTGACACAGTGGCTGCAACAATGGGCTCAAAGACAGCAACGATTGTGAGGATGGTGCAGGACCTGGCAGTGTTTCGTTCTGTTGTACACAGGGTCACTATGAGTAGGAACCAACTTGATGGCACCTAACAATAACAACAAAGCCACCCACTTGTGGTATTTGTTACAGCCGCACTAAATAACTGAGATATCGCCTTGCGTGTGCAGGCACACACACAGAGAGCATAAAAACTCACCAGCCCTCTAGCCTCCATACCCACGACAGGTCTCACCATTTCTTTCTTCTCCTACAAAGAGTTCTTCCTTCTAGTACCAAGTTCTATTTTCTTAGGATGCCTATATGCAGTCCCAGAATCCTCAGAAATTCTTATAAGAAAATGGGAAAATAAAGACTTATTTCTCTGGCTTCGAAACCAAAGGAAACAAAACAGCACAATTTACTTCTCTGCAATATTTGTCTTCATTCGGCAAGTATTATCCTGGATCACCTCTGCTCGATTACCATTTTTATTGAGGGGAAAAAAGCCAAAGTGTAAAAACAGCACTGTCCTGAAACATTTAAGAGTATACTCTTTGAACTTATTCTCATATTCCTGGAGTGGAACCCTCAAGAAGGCATTATTCCTGTGAAGAAATAATAATAAATGACTTCAACCCCATGGGGCTTTCCCACCGCAGGGATGGTTTTACCTGGTACTTTGGGAGCTGCTCCTTAGCGTGTTGTAAAGATCCCCCAGAAGAACTCTGGGAAGAGAGGCTGCTGCTGCTGCTGCTGACGCTGCTGTTCACGATGCCGCTTCCCTGACAGCACTTGGCTGACATTTTCATGGGGACATCCTCCGTGCTCTGGGTAAAGACAGGCACGCTAAAGCACGCGGAGTATACCAGCTTCAACACCTTCTTCACTAGGAATTCCTTTTGTAAAGGAATTGCACCCAAGTTCATTCACACACCAGAAGTGCTTCTTCCCCTTCTAATGATGGCAAAAATGAGGTTATTGAGAGTACGAGGGGGGTGGGCGAGTGGGCAGAAAGTAATGCTAAAGAAGGATACTAGACAAAAGTGGTGGTTATGTATTAAGACATTAAAAGAAAAAACAACCAAACCCGTTGCCGTCAGGTCGATTCTGACTCATAGCAACCCTACAGGACAGAGCAGAACTGCCCCATAGGGTTTCCAAGGAGCAAGTGGTAGATTTGAACTGCTGACCTTTTGGTTAGCAGCCGTAGCTCTTAACCACTATGCCACCAGGGTTTCCTATCAAGACTTTACGCTTCCTAAATAATGCAACTATTATTTACATTTCAATTCACATTTTAAGAGTGTCTACAAGATCTAATCTCTCTTGGTTATTACTTGACTTTTACAGTCAAATCTGTGAAATGGATGAAAAAGACATTTTAAATTTCAATTTTTAACAAGCAGAAAGCAAAACTGTTACATAACTTGGAAAGACTGGGCTTGTGCTTTGAACGACACACTCCTCTAGTACCCCCATTCAGGGGTGACAGGAAAGTAAGTCAGGAGGTCGAGTTTGTGAAGAGCAAGTGGGCAAAGCCCTGCAGTGGGAGCTACTGTGAACCACACAGCAGGTGATGGAAACTGGTCCTCTAGAGACCAGAGGTAACAGAGGACTGCCTGCTAGGTCCCTCAACAGAGCTCAGCATTAACTGTCGTGACGGTGACATGAAGGTGCAGAGATGTCCCACCTGCTCCCTCAGAAGGTGTGCCCTACCCCCTACAGAAGCGCCCTGGGCCCTCTGCGTCACGTTGTTTTTATGCTGAGTCTTACTTGCTTTTCTTTTGTGCAGCCTTTGCTGGGAGAAACATGAATGCAACTGGAGCTTATCTAATCTCCAGTGTGACAGTCACACTGGGGGTCTAATGCAAATGCCTGCAGTCATGTGCTTGACACAAACTCCTGACATACTGTGTTTGCCAAGGGGAGGGGGTGACAACGGGAAGAGGATATAAGGAAAACTCAGAAGAGATGTGCTGGTTCACAGCAGTCACTCTAGCAAAGACGGCATTCCAAGTCACGCTTGGTTAGTCCCGAGCACCCAGCCCTCCCTCAATACCCTCTTTAGATTCAGCCTTACTTAACAGCACTTTAAGAAGCCCTGGTGACACAGTAAGTAAGTGCTCGGCTGCTAAGTGAAAGCCACCCCACGGGAGAAAGATGTGGCAGTCTGCTCCCGAAGACTATCGTTGCTGTTAGGTGCCGTCGAGTCGGTTCTGGCTCATGGCGACCCTGTGTACAAGGGAATGGAACACTACCCAGTTCTGTGCCATCCTCAAAATCGATGCTGTGATTGGGCCCATTGTTGCAGCTACTGGTCCGTCTATCTCGTTGAGGGTGTTCCTCTTTCCCACTGACCTTCTATTTTACCAAGCAGGATGTCCTTCTCCAGGGACTGGTCCCTCCTGATAACATGTCCAAAGTACATGAGACCAAGTCTCACCATCCTCACTTCCAAGGAGCACTCTGGCTGTACTTCCTCGCAGACAGACTGGTTTGTTCTTCTGGCGGTCCATGGTGTGTTCAATATTCTTCATCAATACCATGAGGCAGTTCTGCTTTGTCCCACAGGGTCACTATGAGTCGGAGCTGACTCGACGGCAATGGGTTTGGTTTGGTTTGGTTTAACAGCACTTACGCCATTAAGGACAACCCCTCAGAGGCCCAAAGTGACACCAGGTACACCCTGCCTTACAGACTGCTAGACCTTTGGGTTGGAGAAGAACCTACTAAACAGTCTGTCAGTGGGGGCAGCACCCGACTCAGTGAGCGCCGCCTTTCTGATTAAATGAGGCACTTCTAAACCAACCTACACCCCCGACTCGTGCCAACACAGCTGTGCTCCACTGAAGATCCCACTTCTCATGAAGACCCGTGAGAACCACAGCACGAGCAGCCCTAGTGGTAGGGTGTGGGTGTTCAACCCGCCATCTGCACCAGACCTTCAGGGAAACTGAAACGGTGTGGGACATCAAGGGGAAACCATCTCCTACCCGCCAAACAAAGAGCCAGGGGCCGGCTTACCGGAACTGCCGCTACGACCTACCACTAAAGCGTGCTGTAAATCACCTGACAGATGGTGCCCCGCCCCACCTACCGAACAAGCCCGGCAACTACAGTAATGATTAGCTACCTAGCGGAATTCCACCTTAAGGCACTGTGGAATCCACCCAGCAAAACTGCCTTAACCAAACACTTCCTTCCTGCAGAAATGATCCCATCAAAGGCAGGAAAAGAGGCCTGCGGTCCTGATGAGGCAAAGACTATGATATAAACTGTTCATCAACTCAGCTGCACAGTCCTACAAATGCCAGAATTTGGTCAGTATAAAGCCAAAAAAACCAAACCCATTTCCACTGAGTCAATTTCAATTCACGGCAACCTCCTGTGTTAGAGTGGAACTGCTCCATAGGGTTTTCTTGGGTGTAGTCTTTATGGGAGCAGATCACCAGGCTTTTCTTCCATGGTGCCATTGAGTGAGTTAGAACAACCAACTTTTAGGTTAGCAGCTGACTGCAAACCACTTTTGCCACCCAGGCAGACCGTGGTCAGTATAGGTGGCAAGTTATTAAACATGAAAAGAATCAGTACAGATGAATTTATTTATTTAATTTGTAGACATCGGGATAAATATTGACAGTAGTGTGAACCTGGTGGCAGTTCAGAATTACCGTGGATTGGTGTTCAAGCCCTGGGTAGTACAGTTAATGTACTCAGCCGCTGAACAAAAGGCTGGATGTTCAAGTCTACCCAGAGATGCCAGGAAGAAAGGCCTGGCAATCTACTTCCAAAAAATCAGCCACTGAAAACCCATGGAGCACAATTCTACTCTGACACACATGGGGGCACCATGAGTCAGAACTGACTCAACAGCTACTGGTTTACTGGGTGGACTGGTGCCCAGACAACTTGGGTGGTCCAGACTCTGCTGCTCCCCTTGGCTCCACAAGACCAAGAGCTGGTCTGTCCTCACTCTACCCATCCCCAGCCCCCCACCCCAGGCCCATCCCCCAAGCCTCCACAAAGAAGAAGAAAGAAAGAAAAGCTTCCTTGGCCAGATAGGTTTGAGAAACACTTCTTTTTGGAGCTGATAATGTATCTTACCATATTATACTTTATAGTAAAGAAAACTATTTAATTTAGTTTAAACCAGTGCTATATAATACCTATTAACATCTATGAAAAACACTGGACAGAATAATATATTACTTTCCCTTCAAGCTAACATTTTATGAGTTTTAGGGTTCTTAGTTTTCCCATTACATGTCACACACTTGGCATCAAAATCCTACTGGATCCCAACTCACCAGCAAATTCACCTCTAGTAACATGTATAGTATACTGCCCAGCTCCATCATGACTACATGCTACCTGTTTTACCTACATTTACTAACGAGAACACAAAAATGCCTGAGGGTAGTGGGGGCGGGAGCCTTTGCTTATGTTTCTTCCAAACCATTAATAACGCTGTCTGGGACAGCCCAAAGAGAAGACTGTGAATTAATAACTCATTGATCAGAGACGTGGTAAAAGCACAGCTGGAAAAGATGAAAGCGAACCAGCATTTCATACCTGAGCCGCCTCTTCAATCCTGTGAACAGCTTTAGAATCAAACAAGACTTGTCGGCCCCTCCTCTCGCAGTCCTGGTAGACAATCAGGCGAATCTCGTTCAGGTCAGACTCTGAGCATGACCAACTACGGTTTAAAAGGGAGAAAAAGGTTACGTTACCTGCAACGCTTGGCATGATCTCGAATGGATAAGCTTCCCAGCTGAGGTACCTGTGTGCACGGTGAAAGGCCACGGGTGTGCAGAGAGGGCAATCTCCTCAGACCTGGGGCACTTAGTGGGCTTGCCTATGGACTCCCAAGGGCCATAAAAATATTGTCGGTGTCCATGACAAAGGTCTGGGAAGGCCGCTTTAAATAATAAAGCTTTGGAGAGAAAGCGCTTCCACTGGAAGCTAACCTGGGCATAGGGGGCAGCCAGAAATCTCAGCGGCTTGCCGAGAGGACAACCTGGATGCCTGGGCTCTGGGGGTGGCCCACCTGAGTTACAGGAGTGGTCAAGCTACTGTGTCACTGGGCAGGGGCCACCTGGAGGAAGTCAGTACAGCCTTTTCCTCTCTCCCTCTCCCATCCACCCACCCATGCTCAGGTCAAACTGAGAGGAAATACATGTCCTGAAGCTTGTTCCTTTCCCCCTGACACAGAGGTTTTGAAATCCACCTGCCTCATAGTACAGAGTCTGAGTTGCTAATGACAACCATCAGCAATATAGGAAGCACATTTGCGCCTAAGCACACGGAAAGCTATCGGGATCAAGTTCCTCAGAAGAAAACAGGGATTTGTTCCTGCGTAATGAGTGACACGGGAATGAGGGAGCGGAGGAAAGGGGGTAATCACTGAGAATGTACCGCCATGGGCATATTCACTTATCGATCCCTTCATACGTTCAATGCATAGTTTAGTGCCTACTATGTGCCGGCACTGTGGCAGACGTGAGGCATTCAACAGTTAATTAACCAAACAGCCTTGTTCCCGGCTCTCATGAAATTCATGGTCTAGTGGATATTACTGGGCTCATAACTGATGCATTTGAACGGTGGTGTTGGCAAAGAATATCAACTATACCATGGACGGCCAAAAGAACAAATAAATCAGTTATAGAAGAAATACAACCAGAATGAGACTTCAGTTCGCTTACTTCGGATATGTCATCAGGAAAGACCAATCACTAGAAAATGACATCATGTTTGGTGAAGTAGAGGGCCAGCTTTACAACACTGTAACTTACAAGGAAGCTGTTCAGTCCTTGTTTTGGGGGGTCAACAATGATTCAAGTATCAATTAAACTGAGGACGGCCTCTCCAGGAGACCTAAAATTTAGTAATGATCACAACACTTTTCTAAATACCTCATTTTATTTTTCAACTAAAAAAAAGATAGAAATAAAAAGTAAGAAAAGGGAAAAGTATGTCTGCCAGATTGTTCAGTTATTTTACCCAAACGCCTTAAAAGTATTTTACAAAATATCAGGAAAATTCCATTCTTCTTCCATATGAATATGGTTTTGGTGTAACACAAGTTTGCCATTTACGCCACTAATATTAGTAGAGGAAATCACAGGTCAGAATCTGGTGAAGGAAAGAGGGCAGGACACAGGAGATTAAATGAGCACTTCAGAACGAGACAGGCCCGGGATCCCATCTCAGCTCTGTCTCCCTGAGCAGCACCGGCCGGGCCTATGTGAAGACGGAAGGAGGCAATCCATGGAGGTTCCCCAGCACAGAGCCAACAGGCTCGACCTAGCAGTAATGGTACACCACATATCTGCTCATAGTTACGCTCACTTCCACATGGAACCAACAGTTACTGCGGAGCTGCTAGGAACACCAACCACAGTTCCCAGGGCTTTACTGAGGGCAACTCTGAATGATTCATATCAGACTATTTCAGAGAAATTTATTTTAATAAACTACCTCATTTCTTTGCTTTTATTGAAAGCAAGGAAAGAACAGTACTCTTGGCATCAGGGGACAGGGTCATATTCATTTATTTTATTGTCAAAGCTATATGACAAGAAAGTAAGATGCTTTGTCTATCTTTTTCTCCTGTAAAATTTAAACAAAATGCTTGTATAGATGCTTTTCAGTTTTAAAATCCCATGATGCTAAGATTTGCCTGGATTAGAACTGAAACCAGACCTTATCGCTGGAAATACTCATTAAAAGTGGAAAGCCCATGACCAAGTGGGATTCATACCAGGTATGTAGGGATGGTTCAACATTAGAAGAACAATCAATGTAACCCATCGCATAAATAAAACAAAAGATAAGAACCACAGGATCTTATCAATTGATGCAGAAAAGGCATTTGACAAAGTCCAACACCCATTCACAGTAAAAACTCACAGCAAAACAGGAATAGAAGGGAAACTCCTCAAGATAACGAAGGGCATTTATACAAAGCCAATAGCCAACATCATCCTAAATGAAGAGTCCGAAAGCATTCCCCTTGAGAACGGGAAGCAGAAAAACATACCTTGCTCACGGACAGGAAGACTCAACATTAGGAAGACTCAACATTGTGAAAACGTCAGTTCTACCCAAAGCGATCTACAGATACAACTGCAATCAGAACCAAATTCCAACAGCATTTTTTAAGGAGATGGAGAAACAAATCACCAACTTCATATGGAAAGGGAAGAGGCCCCGAATAAGTAAAGCATTACTGAAGAAGAAGAACAAAGTTGGAGGCCTCACACTACCTGATTTTAGAACCTATTACACCACCACAGTAGTCAAAACAGCCTGGTACTGGTACAACAGATACATAGACCAATGGAACAGAATTGAGAATCCAGACATAAATTCACCCACCTATGAGCACCTGATAGTTGACAAAGCCCATTAACTGGGGAAAAGACAGTCTCTTTAACAAATGGTGCTGGCATAACTGGATATCCATCTGCAAAAAAATGAAACAAGACCCATACCTCACAGCATGTGCAAAAACTAACTCAAAATGGATCAAAGACCTAAATATAAAATCCAAAACGATAAAGATCATGGAAGAAAAAACAGGAACAAGGCTAGGAGCCCTAATACATGGCATAAACAGAATATAAAACATAACTAAATGCACAAACACCAGAAGAGAAACTAGATAACTGGGAGCTCCTAAAAAGCAAACACTTAACGCCCATCAAATGACTTTACCAAAGGAGTAAAAAGACAACCTACAGAATGGGAAAAAATTTTTGACTGTGACATATCCAATCAGGGTCTAATCTCTAAAATCTACAAGATACTGCAAAACCTCAGTAACAAAAAGACAAATAACCCAATGAAAAAATGGGCAAAGGATGTGAACAGGCACTTCACCAAAGAAGACATTCAAGCGACTAACAGATACATGAGGAAACGCTCACAATCATTAGCCCTTAGAGTAATGCAAATCAAAACTACAATGAGATACCATCTCACCCCAACAAGGTAGCATTAATCCAACAAACACCAAATAATAAATGTTGGAGAGGCCGTGGAGAGACTGGAACATTCATACACTGCTGGTGGGAATGTAAAATGGTACAGCCACTTTGGAAATCGATTTGGCACTTCCTTAAAAAGCTAGAAATAGAGGTACCATACGATCCAGCAATCCCACTTCTTGAAATATATCCTAGAGAAATAAGAGCTGTCACATGAATAGATATATGCACACCCGTGTTCACTGCAGCACTGTTCACAATAGCAAAAAGATGGAAACAAGCTAGATGCCCATCAACAGACGAATGCATAAACAAATTACAGTGTATACACACAATGGAATACTACACGACGATAAAGATCAATGATGATTCCACGAAATATCTCACGACATGGATGAATTTGGAAAGCATTATACTGAGTATAATTAGTTGATTGCAAAAGGACGAATATTGTATGAGACCACTATTATAAGAACTCAAGAAAAGGTTTAAACACAGAAGAAAACGTTCTTTGATGGTTATGAGGGTGGGGAGGGAGAGAGAAGGGTATTCACTAACTAGATAGTAGACATGAATTATCTTAGGTGACAGGAAGACAACACACAATTCAGGGGAAGTCAGCACAAATGGACTAAACCAAAAGCTAAGAAGTTTCCTGAACACAACCAAACACTTTGAGGGACAGAGTAGCAGGGGCAGGGGTCTGGGGACCATGGTTTTGGGGGACATCGAGGTCTACTGGCAAAAAAAAGTTTATAAAGAAAATGTTCTGCATCCCCATTTGGTGAGTGGTATCTGGGGTCTTAAAAGCTTGCAAGCGGCCATCAAAGATGCATCAATTGGTCCCAAACACCTGGTGTATAAGAGAATGAAGACCAAAGACACAAGGAAAGTATTAGCCCAAGAGACAGAAAGGGCCACATAAACCAGAGACTTCATCAGCCTGAGACCAGAAGAACTAGATGGTGCCCGGCTACCATCAATGACCACCCTGACAGGGAACACCACAGAGAGTCCCTGACGGAGCAGGAGAAAAGTATGGAGCAGAACTCAAATTCACGTAAAAAGACCAGACTTAATGGTCTGACTGAGACTAGAGGAACCCCTGAAGACATGGTCCTCGGACTGTCTGTTAACCCAGAACTAAAACCATTCCCAAAGCCAACTCTCAAACAAAGATTAGACTGGACTATAAAACATAAAATGATATTCATGAAGAGTGTGCTTCTTAGTTCAGGTAGATACATGAGACTAAACGGGTAGCTCCTGTCTGGAGGTGGGATGAGAAGGCAGAAAGGGATAGGAGCTGATTGAATGAACAAGGGAAACTCGAGGTGGAAAGGGGGAGTGTGCTGTCACATTGTAGGGATTGCAACTAGGGTCACATAACAATATGTGTATACATTTTTGTATGAGAAGTTAACTTGAGCTGTAAACTTTCACCTAAAGCACAATAAATAAATAAAAAGTGGAAAGCAAGTGACCAAAGTCTGAATTATTTTCCTCAAAGGCAACAAGCAGTAGTTCAAATGGTTTTAAGTGTAGAAAATGGAATTCTCTTTGAAAGAGACACAACCTTGAAATCAAAAGTTTCCCAAATGCCCGATTTTTAGCTTATAATATGCGTATAAAAAAACTCTGGAAGACGACACAGAGACTATTAACAACAATCACATCTAGAGAGCTGGAATAGAGGACTGCAGAA